TCCTGGCTGAATCCAGCACAGTTTTATACATATCTATGTGTACATTGGGGGCAGGATATTATTTCACTGTTTTCAGACACAGGGAAAGTGTCCTCCGAACGCAGCTGATTTTAGAACTTTAAAAAAAGTAAACAAGTTTGGCAAAAAAAAAAAAAAACTTTGTAGCATTATTAAAATATAATTTGTGATGGAATGTGATACAGAGTTGTATGGTCTGTAAACTGAATGCAAGCTTATTTCTACCTACCATTCCTTTAAATAGATTAGAATCTTAAAGTCTTAATATGTTGAAAAGTAATTCCTTGGCTGCCGTTTTAGAAAAGCCCCAGAGCAGCAGAAAACATAGGGAATGGGTTTAATTTCTAATTATAACACCAATTTTCTCCAGCTGCCCTTCAGCCTGTATATCAAATATTGTCTAATTTGTGTCTCATGTCAGAATTGTCTCGTGGAAGGATCTGAAGAAAAAAGTCCTAATTGCTTCACAGATTACATGGAACCTGTTCTAGATGGAGGAAATGCCGTGGGGGAAAAAAAAGTACAAAGTAGTAATGGCCTGTGAACTAATTGGAAATATGTAGATAACTGAGACTAAAATTCTGTTGGGCCTTGAAAGTTAAGCCAAATATTTATATTCAAATACTGTGACATTAGTCAGTGCACAGCCACGTTAACTGTCACCATAACGTCTTCCTGTGTTGTATTTCCTGACGCCTAACCAGGTAACTTTTAGAAATAATGTGTCTCGGAGGAATGCATCTACTCACACTTGTCTTCCTTTTCTCATAGGTGGATGTAGCTGTGGTGCATTTCACTCCACTGGTGCAACCCAAGATACAGCAGCCATTTGAGCTAGTTGAAAAAGTGGTTCAAAGTGCTTTCCAGTTCAGAAGAAAATACTGCTTCCGTGGAATCGAGTAAGCATTGTCAATGAAACATTCTCAGATACCTTTTATTTTTTTGTAAATGCAGCAACTACTAAATCAGCTGAGAAACATGTGTAACTGTGCACTTGATTTTATTCCTCCTGTTTTAAATTTGCCATCATATTTCATCAGACCTTTCAGTTGCAGAATTGTTTCTGGAGACTAAAGTAGGAAATGAATCTCTTCCTGCTGTAATTGCATAATAATTATTGTGCATTTTTGATAGGTTGGTGATCTGTTCAATAGTTTGTCGCCAAAACAAACAAACAAACAAACCCCAACCAAAAAACACCTGAATATAAAAACTACAGCATTTCTTGGTTGAGTTAAAAACCGAAATTACCAAACTCAGAATGAAAGATGGCAGTGTGAGGAGGGAGAACGTTGTCTGTGGGAAATCCTACTTATTTGGGGATAACATCAAAAGATCAAATTCTTGTTTCTGTGCTTGCCCTTTTATGGAGTTTTTACGAGCTCTTTAAAAATCCCCACGTCTTCCTTAGAGAACCTCTTAAATTCCCTAACTGATGTGAGAAACCTGCAGTCCGTTCGACAAGGATCCTGTTAAACTCCAGTGTAGCCACCCCTGACTCGCTGTGGGGAAAACCCAGCATTCTGCACTGTAGAACCTATGACAGAGCTGCTTTTCGGAGTTGGGCCACCTGAATTTTGCTGGGCGTGGTTTTGGCCCTGACGCTGTCTAGAGTTGGGGTGGATACCACCTCACTGACCTAAAAGCCTTATATGTCACTATTGTAAAGTTGAAAATGGAATTTTACCTCTAGTTTTGTGGTCTTCACTTGAGGCAGCTAAGGGCATTGATATCTGGGATGCAGACATTTGACCCCAAAACAGCACTGATTTGCCTGTGTTAACGTTTGGAGTTGGTTAGAAAAATGATGCCTCTAAACTCTGGATAGGTCTGTGTTTGATTCACCGGGTGGGGGTTTTGTGAAAGAACAGTTTCCCTTGACACTGTAGGCTGGAGGGAAGCGCAGTCAGCATAGCTACGTTACGTAGGACTTTTCTGCCAAAGTTTTTAAAACCCCAACTCTTGGGCAGTGTCAAAGAGCTAGTAAGTGCTCGACATTCTTTTGAGGCAAGGAGGGGGAATCTGAACTTTGGGACGTCGCGTATTCCCCAAGCAGCTTACCATACTTCAGCCCTAGTGTGCAGCTAAGAAACACAATCCTCTTACTCTTTAACTGACCTGAAAAAGACCAGCAAATTTTGGTATGCAATAAGGTGATTAAGTTTGTTATGAGCTGTCTGTCGCATATACTGCATAAAACCAAGGTACTGGGATCAGCTTACATTTGTGTGCAAACTGTGGGGTCTGAGAGAGACGTGGCCTGTAAGATTAAGCTATTAAGTCTGTGAAGAAAAATAGGGTAGTCTGGGTTGCTGTTTGTGGATGTTTAGACAATGGTTCGTTGTCTGTATATAAAAGGTGAGCAAACATTTTTGTCTCCAGGTACGGCTTTTAACTGCCAAATCAGAGGTGAGACTAATTTAACGCTCGATGTCAAAATAAGGATTGATCCATTTTAACCTCGCTGACTTAGATGCTGGACCAATGGGGATGTTTTTGACCAAGACCTTGAGTAGCATGTACTTGAAACCAGGTTGTTCCCAGAAGTTCCATCCTTCTCTTGTCATCTTACACCCCTTCTGACCCCGCTGTGTTCTGTCTGCCCACCAAGAGTCCGCTAGCATGTCTCTACACGAAGCCTTTTGACTAGCTTGTCCTGCCAACCTGCCGGACTGGGGGGGAGGCAGGCGTGGGGGGATTCCTGTATAACCATTCCTGTATCACATGGACAGCAGTTTTAGGTCTTAGGTGTGTATGGCAGAGGCAGAGCATTTGAAAATGGAGACATGCACATCAACCATGTGCAGGTTTTCTGCTTACCTGGCCTGTTGCAGACCGAGAACCACTTTCACCACGAGTTAGACTTTTCAATAGTTTGCACTCCATAGTACGCATTTTTGAGAGACATAACAAATTACTTAATGCTATCCGCTAAGATTTGGGGAACTTGTGAGGGAGGTGCTAACACATCTGACTGCAAAATAATGAACTGCTCTGACTATCGATGAACAGTGACAGTGCAGAAACCAAAATCTAGGACTCCTGGCACATTCTCCAAGTGCAAATATTAAAAAGTGAATTATTAAATAGTCCTTTCCTCCTCCTTGGCTTTTTTCCTGGCATTGGAATTACGGTATTAATGACAAATGATAACAGCATCTTTCCCATTGGAATGAAACAGCCTGAAAGAGTCCCACGGTTTGGGTTTGCTCTGTTTTGCACAGTTGAATCTGTTGTTGCTGTCTAAATGTTGGGCTGATTCTCGGGGGCTCTGTGACTGTATCCACAGCCAGAGCTCTTTCTGATGTTCTCAGAGATGAACAGCCACGTCTGCGTTCAAGGTACAGCGTGTGTATGTGCTTCCCTCTGTTGTTACTGTGCACGTTGGCAGAAGGAGCCTCTCACGTTTCCGTGTGCTCAGATCATGAGCGATGTTGAGCGCCAGAGCTACAATAGTGACATACGGAACAGTAAACCTGTCAAGTTAATTCCTAAGAGGACCCTCTAACTTTTAATGGGATCTGAATTGTCTGCCTGAATGTGTTCGTCTTCTCCCCACACCTTTTAGGACCTTGTTCCCTGAAAACGGACGTCTGAAAAGAACCGAAGAGCTGATGATGACAGCGAATGTAGATCCAACGCTGCGTCCCTTTCAGCTCACCATGTCACACTTCAGAAACCTGTGTAATACGTACAGGAAAATGTGTGATGAAGACCCCAGCCTCTTTGTGTACAATTACAGAGAACAACTCAGGCTAAAGAAGAAGATGAATCTCCTTAAAAGTCCCAGGCACCCCAGACAGACTGAAGAGGAAAATGAGTTGTAACAGCTGCCGTTGCAGCAGATTTTATTTGTTTTGACTTCTTGACCTAGAGGTGTTGATTCAGTAAAAGGAGGTTTATATATTCCTACATCTGTGCAGGTGTGGAGGAAATACTGCTGAGAAAGTGGTGGGGAGAGAGGGCTCTCCCGTTTTATTCATTCATTCCAGTCAGCTGGGGACAAAAGCGTGAGGACAGTCCAGTTACAAGATGCCTACAGGTTCTTTGTACCTCAGGGGAGTGGCTAGAACACATACCAAGAACAAGGTGTGGCGTGAGACACGTAAGTAAGCAGAGATACCTCTGAAATAATTGTTCTGTACGAGGGAGAGTGCGTTACTGAAACGTAAGGAAAAAACAGCATTCCTAGTAAAGCGTGTTAGATGGTGTCTGGGGGTTTGTGCTGTTTTTATCCTGGGACGTCCTCCAGTGCAGAGCAGTTTAAAAACTCTTGTACAAACATACTCAAGTGACTGGCTTAAAGGAGGATAAAGTGCACAGATTGCCTCAAGGTCTGCTAATGCTCTTCTCATTTACGCGAAAGCAAAGAATTTGGGATTTAAAGCCCCAGCTAGAGGAAAGCGGCATAATAAAAAGTAGAAAACATGGCTAAGTACAATACTTATTTGTCTTTTACTGTACAGGCTGGTAGAGAAAATAAAAAATACAGTCAAATAAAAGATTACAGGCCAAGCTTTGGTTTTGTATTTACACATATGTATAAAGTATAAACAGCATCTTGAAACTTACAAAAACAACATTTCTGCACTACTGTGCACTAAAACACCTTAAAATAACTTAATTCTGCTTTAAATAAAGCAAAAATGAAAACCAAAGAAATAAAATGCCCAAGGTATTGAAAAATCCGTTTTGCAACGCCACTTTCCACCATAATCCCCTCCGCCACTCACCAGCACCTTTCCATGTTACTGAAAATACTAATGAGGCCATCCTTCCCTTCCCCTCCCCCACCAAGGATCCTGCATCATCTTCAGATCTGCTTGACAGGGATGAACTGATTTACAGACCTTGGCCAACTTAATCTAGTTTTGATCCACAATAAATTAAAATAACTTAAGAACCCTTTACAGCTGTTTTTTGTGGGAAGAAAAAAAAATGTATTAGTGCACAAAATCAGATAGTAGTTTTCCTGCAGCTTCCATGAATTTACTAGTTTTAAAGCAAAATAAGTTTGTTGAATTTTATGTGGACTTCAAATGAGTATTTTAAACATAGTGCTTAGAAAGCTAGGATTTCCCATGCCTCTCCACGGCTTCGTAAAAACAGTCCTCATTGACTACAGAGGTTAAACTCTGGACACTAAATTCTCTCTCTAAAATAGAGTTCAGGTCCAGGTTTGCAGCCTCCGAGTGGCTGTCAAGGGACTGGTGACGTTCCTGCATGGCCGTTAAGGTCCCCCTGTTGCGCTTCGTGCTGTTTACTTTTCTCTTCACCGGGCAGAAATGGCCACGCACCAGCTTCGGGTGCTGTCCCGCCTCAAAGCCATCTCCTCCCTCGTTTTCAGCGGCCTTATCCCGTTCAGAGTCTGTGCTCGGTTCCTCCGAGATCTTCAGCCGTTGGAACTGGATTTCAATGTCTTTTGTGGGGCTGCCTTTCTTTAAGCTCTGATGATAGTCGTCGTCGTCGTCACTGAGAATATCGGATTCCTTGACAAGGACGTTAGTGAAGTCGGACGCAGAGCTCTCTTCGTGTTTATCGGGAGATGAGCCCTTGGGCTCCGGCACGCTCTCCGCGGTGTGGCAGCTGCTGCTCTGAGTACTGCTGCTCAGGCTGCACTCGTCAGAGTCCTGGAAGGTGCCCTTCCCCGGGTCACCATTCCACTCGCTGCTGGGTGAATTCTTCAGTACCTTCAAGGACCTCGTGGAAGCTGTGCGGAGGAAAAAGGCGGGTTGGTCTCGTCAACAGAACAGCAGCAGGTTGTTACGCTGTCTCACCAGCTCAGTTACAACCTACGCAGCCTCATCTGATAGCGGTTCCAGGTAAGATGTGTCAGCATTCCGATGCCACCAGGACGATCCCGTGTCAGAGTTTTCACCCCAGGGCTCTCTGCTTGCCTTGGTGGGCAGTACACACAGAATCTCCCAACGCTACAGTAAGGATTTACACGCATTCGCAGGAACACACGCCTGATTTGGGCACCTCCATCACTGGAGGGGGTCACCTCAACTATCCTGGTTCCTGGAATGTTAAGGGGAATTTACGGACAGCTGATGAGGAGAACTTGAACTACTACCAGCTGCTCATTTAACTGGATGGCCGAAGCCTGTCCTTAGCGAGGGCAGCTGCAGGGATGCAGAAGGAAGCAAGACCCCTGCCTCTGGCCAGTTTTAGCTTTGGCTGAGCTACTAAAGGGAACCCAGAGGAAAGAACAGTAATGCTGCATGCCAAAGGGACCCTGCTTCTTCCCAGCAAAATTAATTGGGGCCTTATTAAGTCCTCCCTTAGGAAAGTTAATGACACATCAAATATGCCAGTAGCGGGGGAGTTGGAGGGGCAAGTTATCTCCTCCAGCCCTCATCACGCACAGAGTTGTGGAGAAACGCTACCACCTCCCCAGCCTGAAGAAGAAATGGGGTTTGTGGGGCTGGCACACCGACACACGACAGTCATGGGGAGAATTAGGAATCTTCTGCTGGCGCTGGAGTACGGACTCCGTTTTTCACTTTGAGCAGGTGTTACTTACCCAGTTTGGCTGTTGCAGGTACACGGTTCTTGAGTGGGACAAGGCGATCTTTACATGTTTTCTCCAGCGGCAGTTCACATTTTATGTGACGTCTGAAATTCTCCCGCAAAATAGAACGGATCACCTTCACGATGTTTGTCTTGTTCTCACAGTCACTGCAAGTAGAAGAAAATGGAGCACCTGATTTTCCCCTCTGAAGACACTCGTGGGATAAAAATCTGCCTTCCTCCCTTCTGCTGATGTGCTTTAGTGCAGTGGGGTTTGTTCAGTAGATTGCTTTAGTAGTGGTTTCATAGAATCACAGACTGGTTTGGGTTGGAAGAGACCTTAAAGACCATCTAGTTCCAACCCCCCTGCCATGGGCAGGGACACCTTCCGCTAGACCAGGTTGCTCAAAGCCTCATCCAGCCTGGCCTTGAACACTTCCAGGGATGGGGCATCCACAGCTTCTCTGGGCAACCTGTTCCAGTGCATCACCACCCTCTCCGTGAAGAATTTCTTCCTGATATCTAATCTAAACCTCCCCACTTTCAATTTAAACCCATTACCCCTGGTCCTGTCACTACAGGCCCTTGTAAAAAGTCCCCCCCAGCTTCCTTGTAGGCCCCTTCTGCAATAAAGTCTCCCCGGAGCCTTCTCTTCTCCAGGCTGAACAAGCCCAATTCTTGCAGCCTTTCCCCACAGTGTAGTGCCTGGATTCAAAGAGTGTGAACTGCCTTGGAAGTGCTGATGCAAAGGTTACGCTGGGGAAAATAATTTTTTTTAATCTCATTAATGTCATTTGACAAATACACCCTCCATGTCAAGCTTACCTGCTGCACAGCTGAAAAGTTGTTTCTGGCCTGCCTTCTAGCTCTGACTTTGTGTGAATCAGTTCCCAGATACAGCTGTTCTCTGTTCCTGTGCACAGAAGGAAACGTTGTTTTTGTATACAGTTCGCAAAACCTGCGGCATTAGAGGGACCAGAGCAGAGCGCCTCCACTCCTGCCGGCAGCGTTAACACAGCCCTGGGCGCATCCACAGACGATCTCACCGGAGTGGGAACCCAAAGGGAAGTCTCCCCTGAACGCTCCTGCTGCAGCAGCCCGGTGCTGCCCCTGATAACCTGGCCTTCCCTCTTGGAGAGCTGCATTCCCCCTCTCTCGTCGCGCCGTCTCCCAGGTGTGCAGAGCGTTTGCTGCAAACGCCCAGCGACACTACAGCGCTTACAGGACTGGATGGGATCATAAAGATCAGCTCAGAGGGAGGACACAAAGGCGGCCCTCTGCTGCCACCAGTTACAGTCAGCTTTCCCACGCCTGAAGACGAGCGAGGGTCGGCACATGCACAGCGTGAGGGCATCACCAGGGCATCAACCGCCAAACGTCACCTTCCTGTTCACGGTGGCTTTTTACTGGGGATTTCTAATCTGTCAGTCCTTCGCAGCTTGTTGCGTCTTCCTCAGCTCACGGAAGAAGCCACCATACCAGGTGAAGAAAGTCTGTTAGTATATCAAGCCTGTGCCCCCTGAGCCCTACTGAGAGACAACAGTAGATCCTATTTTCTCTACACCTGCCTGTTTCCAGAGGCTCCAGAGAGACAGACGGAAAAAGCAGTACCACAGAACCCCCAGAGAAGTGTTAAATCCTAAAGGACTCGGTGCGAGGCACTTACCTGCTGTGTTCCCCAGTCGAACCTGAAGAGCGGATAAAGGAATCAGCCAACGAAACTTAAATGGATCCAAGTCACCATAATTATGTGCAGCACGAACGTTAGTAGGCTGCAAAAAGAAAAACAACAAGGGTATTTCTAAGGGGTGAAAGAAGCGGAGGATTTGTGTGTTACCCTGCAAAGACCCGCCTCTGAAGAGAAACGGCATTCATTTGACTTCTTCCTTCAGTACCCTAATCCATGCTTGTAAACGCAGTTGAAATGGTGATAGACGCAACCTTTGGAATTTGTAATCGCTTCAACTTGTAAAAGCACTTGTTTTTAATGGATAAAAATAATATTTTGCATGTAAGTACTACTAGGGAACAAGGAACCTGCCGACTGTTGATGAGCGGAGTACATGAATCACGTAGCTCCTGCTGCTACCTTTAGAGCCCCTCCGTCTGTTAGGATCAGCGTGGCGCAGCACTTCGCCACCGGTACTTGGGATGTACAACTTGCTACTTCACTTCAGCGTTAAGGTTTTGTAAGTGGGGAGAGAGGAAGTTGTGTTCATAGCGCCCCCTCTCCCTTCCGGGTGATCAAGGGGCTGTAAACAGAGGTCTGTAACCTACACAGAACATTAAGGTCGGCCCCGGTAAATACCATCCGGCAACGTTTCGTATTCCACCTGACGGAACTAACACGGGGGCTCGCACAGAGAAGACGCTGCTGCCCACTAAATAACGAAAAGTATTTATTGCTGCACAGATACTGAGCACTTGTTTCAGCTGTGACGGCTGGAATTCCAGCCCAGCGAGGGAGTCACTCCCCCTTCCACACCCATGTGGTCCATCTCCCGCTGCAGCAGGAGCCTGTGCATAAACACCCCCCACTTCTACTGACCCCAGACTTACCATTTTCTTTTTCAGTTTGTAGTTCTCCTTATAGACCAGTATTACAGCTCTCTTAAAAACTAAACGAAGAGAAAAAGGAGAACTGTTAATTACAAATGTAGTATCTGATGAAAGTCTTACCTCGGAGAACCTGATTCTTGTAGTCACGGCAGCGTGAAGGACCAGGTAAGTAAACTGATTCAAAAGCACCCGCCCTGTGTTAAGAAGGCAACAGAGCTTTTCATCCTACACTTATTTGTGCAGTGGCAGTACTTCTTCCTCAGATTTTGTTCTAAACAGGTAGGATGAAGCCGTTCTGCACATTTATTCTGAAGCCACCAGCAGCCTGCCCCCTGCAAGTGTTCACACAAGCACGTACAGCAGATGGGGTTTAGATGTCGAGGTCCGTATTCCCTTCTTGTGATCGATGGGTGTCTGCAAGCTGAGTGAGGGCTTAGAGCAAGGGGGCTGTGAAAAAGGACCCTAAGTCTGGTCTTCCTGCAGTTCAGCATTTGTACAGCTGGGAACTCAGTCATCTCAATTCCTACTTTTCCACCCGCAGGAATTCTCTGGTTTCCACAACATCTGACTGGAGTGGCTCAGTAGCATCATCTAAGCTCAGCGTCCAGGGAGGCAGCGACACCTCCTCTCTCCTCTGTAAGAAGGCACAGAAACATGGGGGCGCTGAAGCTGCAGCTGAACTATGGGATGGCTCTGCAGAGCCATCCTGGATCCCGGATCGGACTCCAGGGCAGTATAGCTCTATCCCTGCTCACGCATCCACATTTCCTTCCAGTGGAAGAGGAGAGGGGCAACAGTATGTAAATGAGTCTCATCCCTACATGAAGCCAGGGTACAGACACAGCGAGCACAGCATTTACCCCACAGAACCTTGGCAGTTGCTCGCAGTCCCACATACCGGGTGCCTTTTCTAAGCGGCCCACATGGGGTTTGAGGTGAGAATAAAACTCGGTTTCCCAAGTGGCACACGAGCAGTCTGCCAGGCGTTCACATGCGTCCTGCCGGGAAGTGTCTGGCACATGGGAACCTGGGAGGTAGCTCCTGTTCTTCTAAGCATTCCCTCCCCTAACCTGCCATGCTTTCTGGGGAAGGAGTGCATGACAGCCCTGAGGAAGCGGAACTTGCCTCCGTCAACCTGGAGTTCTGCAGGTGGTTATCCAATGGCATTTTAAATACAGATTTTTTAAGGAAACAGACAAGTCCCACAGAAGTTTCACAGGAAGATGTCATTACTTGGGTAAACATTAAATGATTAATCATATATATACAGTTAAATACAAACAAGAGTTTTATGTTCTCATTTCCACATCCGTTTTCAGGTTAAGGTAATCTGGATGGGGACCTGGATGCCGTGGCTGCAAAGCAGAAGTTAGCCTGAACTCACAAGAGCAGAATAAATCCCCATCTGCCCACCAGCCTCCTTCGGAAGCTTGCTGCAGCAGCTTGTTCTGAAGAGAGGCTAATGCCTCTCGAAAGTCACTGGTTTCCAGTTTACATATCGGCAGGAGAGCAGCTGAGGTTGGCTCCCAGAGCAAACAGCGAACAAACAAATGGAAATTTTTCTCATTTCAGGAAATACAACGATGCATTTTTTCAGATGTAAGTCCATCCTAGATAGCCCATGGCTAGAGGGAAAGGAGATGGTGGCTTTCATCTTGTGAGAAGATGTGACGTGGTAATCTTTGGATCTGAAAGAGCAGAGTCATTAAGGAAGACACTTACCAAACACTGTAAGTTCAAGGTCTTTTCTTGCTTTGCCCAGCGATGGGAAAGGATTCAGCCAGGAAACTGTAGAGTGCATCAGAAGTTCTCCCATTGAAAGCTCTGTCACCTGCGTTAAATTGTAACAGTAGATAACATAAATAAATCGTATAAATATGTACATCATTGCTGCAATCCACATGTGAGTAAAATGTTAATGAGTACACATCAATAACTTGGAGGATCTACGTTTTCTCTATTTATGTGCAGAGAGAAAGGCAGAGAGATCTATGCTACAGCAGGCAGAGTGTGAGTAATCCCCCTTTTTAAAATAGGTAACAACTCTAAAAAGTAACAGCCCCTAAGTTATGGAAGCTGGATAGAAGCTCTTTCTATTAATACCTTAGAAGAATATTAAGTTGATCTGATGGTCTGTCACTTACATATACCCAGTTGTGAACTGGCTGATTTCTTAGCTGTAAGTATCTTTAATTTCTATAGGGTAATTAGTGTTAATGACACTGCCAATGGCAGAATTAATGGAGGTCTTGTACTCTGAGGCCGTACTTCCTTCTATGGGACACGACGTAACACTGTGAACGGTCTCCCATGCTGTCAAGTTTTGTTTCCTCATAAATGACAGGAAAACGGTATCCAAGCAAGGGGGCGATTTGGATTTTACTAGGAAGAGATAAAACAACCGAGCTGGATCTGTCATATCTGATCTCCGCCTTTACAGATTTGATCTGCTTAGTAATCGTTTGATGTAAATAGCTGAGCTGAGACCTTGCTGCCCCAGTTCTGGGAGATGGGTGCACACGCAGTCTGTTTAATGGGTTTTGCTCTGACGAACACCCAAGGATGCCTCGGCGCTGGGAGCATAGAGAATGAGAATAACAGACCTTAATGTGAAATCCCTCAAATTGCCACTTTCATTTGTATGGGTGAAAAAATATCTTAAGAACTCTATAGCAGAAAATCTGAATGCCTTGGGGCATGGATAATCTCTGCAACATTTGAGAGGAGGAGGATTTTCCCTACTGAGAATTAGGTCTACTGCTTGCAGTTCTTGTCAGACCAGAAGGTGGCGGCTTTGGCAGCTGTCTGAAAATTTTACCGTAACCTACTGACAAGAAGTAACTTGACAGGCAGCTAAGAAATGTAAGTCAAAATATTAAAGGAGAGTGGAAGAAGCCCAGCACAAATAAGTTCACAAAATTACCTCAGGAAGAGATAAAACTCCCAATGGCAAGTGGGATAATACTTCAGGACTGCATAAAACATGTTGTTCCTTCTCTTACCTCCTTCTCTGTTCCACTTTGATCTGCAACCAGTTGGTCAAATACAGTGCCATAATCTTCATAGATCTTCTGCATCTCGTTGATGTGGCTTGCTACTTTCTCCATTGCCTTCAGTGCTTCTGTAAGGTTTTCAAATTACACAGACAGCTATGTAATTCAGCTGTATTTTCTAAATGTGGCATTTTTTTACTGAATTCCACTTGAGGCAGGCAAAATGACGCAGAGTTCCCGAGGTTTGGGGAACAGAATTCTAGCTTTCTATCAGTGCTTTCTCATAGCAACAGTAGAAAGCATGCTTCCTGATCAGAGTAAGGGAAAAATGCTCGTCTGGTGTCTGAAGTCTTTCAAAAAAGACTGCAATAAGCATCCCAGTGATGAGCCCCCAAACGTATGAATATTCCTACCAACACGACAATAAACAGGGTTAGGTTTTCCATCCTGTAGGTATAGGGCCCCAAGGATCCCTAGTGTAATCTACACCCATATGAGAATAAGTCATCTGATCAGCCCGAATAGACACAAATTGCATTTGGCTCACGACAGAAAGGAAGGAATACAGTGCTAGGTTGTGCAACTTCCTCAGTGACTGCATCCATGAAATGAAAGGCTGGTGGCCAGGTTTTGTTTAAATTCTGCTTTCTAAGCATGAGTGACACTAGATTTCACTAAACTTTTGTGTTAATTCACAAAGGAGTCAGAGAAGGGTGCTTAGTTTCTCCAGTCCTGCCAGCTCGTAACGATGCAGCCTTTTAGAAGTTTGGCATTCATCCTGACCTGCAAGTCAGTGCTCCCCCCCAAGCTTTTGGCTGTAAGGGCAAGGGAACCATCGTAGAAACTCCCTCTAAAGTCACTAACAGCCTCATGACTTTTTGCTGACAGTCTATTTGCCTGCAACTATTTTGTTAAAAAGACACTCAGTCCATACAATGAATCTCTAGGCTTCCCTCCGTGAGGTGGTGACAGACCTGAACTGGAACGTGCCAGAGTGACATCCCAAGCACCTGAGCCTAGAAAAGCGATCGACTCCAACATATGTCAGAGAAGTCCTTCTCCAGGGGGAGAGTGCAAAGCCTTGATGCGCATCTCTTGCGCGCAAGCGTCATGGCCAAACCTCAGCGAACTGAAAGTTCCTTCCGTGGCGCTGCCGAACTCTGACACATTTCAAGAACAATTAGCCACAAGATGGAGCTTTGGTCAGCATTTCCCAGGTGGGGAAAGAAACCCCAAAAGCAATGCTATGACCTGACATGCTCCTGTGCAAGAACTGAGGAGAAAGGCCCCAGTCCTATTTATCACGGCAAATCCTGGGCAGATCTGCTTCTCAGAGGGACTTGGACATCGCAAGTAGGACCTTTGGCTATAAGCACAAAAAAGCTACTTACTATTTTTAAGGAGACAGAGGGAATTCTCTCTAGGTTTGGATGAGTTCTGTGCTATCTACCAGAATGGCTACCTGCCTCTTCAGAAAGGACTAGAAATAACATTCTTGTAGAAGAAAGGAAGAAGTTACCTGTCAAATGGTAGTGCTCCTCGCTCTCATTATCTGTCAGAGACACCAGCTCTTTTAAAAGCAAAGGATATTTCAGCACTCTCTGAACAGGTTTTATGAGATACGACTCCAGTGTAGAAGAGTGTTGCTTTGTGGGATTTCGAGCATCCAGAAAGGTCTTAAAAGCACTGTCTGTTTTGGCTAGATATAAATAAAAGAGTTGGTCAGTTGGACACGGAAGTCACAGAAGCGACAACAATTTGGAAGCGCAGAATCGCAGCTTGTAACCAGCACCAAAAGCCCCACCCTTTTCAATAGATGGCTTACAAAGCAGCTCATATTATTCATCTCATAATGATTTCCTGCATTAAATAACATACGTAAGGGCTAAGAGGGCAATTACATCAAGGTGAGATTATTCCTCAATGTAATTTTTCCCCTGCGCTGCTGTGCATGGCAGAGGGAGTAATTTCTAACTTGTTCTACCATTTGTTGTTGATTTTGGAGTATGAACTGGGTCTGGAGATGGCACAAACTTGCGGAAGATGTTTCTGTAGCTACTGCCTGCATATTACAAAAGGGATCTTATCCCTTCAGTTCCACACCATCCTTCAGCAGAACCGCAGATCTTAGCTCTTCCTACTGAAAAGTACCCAATTGGCTCCTGCTTTGTACCAATATCCTCTGCCAGTCGACAAGATTTATTACAGCAGTTCACTGCAGTTTAAATTCATGCAAATCAGTTACAATAACAAAGACAATAAATTACCTCTCTCGAGAACTTTCTGAACCTTGATGTGGTTTGCGCAGAAGCCACTGTACAATTTAAAGTGGTCAGCGTAATACAGGAAGGAGCCTCCGAGGGAAAAGAGCAATTTCTGAAATCAACACAATCAAAATATTAATTCATTACTAGAATCTTAAATAAGTGTTCAGGCACATAACACAGAGGCTCAGTGCTGTGATTATTTGCTATCTTTCTATACATATCCTATTTTTTAATATATATAATGAATACACTACTGGTAGTAGTTCCAGGATGTTTCTGTATCTCTCGGTGTGGAGTTCATCCTATTCAGGCGAAGCCTGCAATTTTCTCCACTCTCCCTGAGCACAAACTACCACTGCAGACACTCTGTCTTACAGAATCTTTCAGGAAGCACTGGAACAAAAAAATCAACAGACATGTAACAGGGTATCCTGTGCTGGGAAAACTCACGAGCCAGGGGAAGCAAGGCACAGAAGTTCCAAAGCCAGAAGGGAGAAAGTGTGAAACAAACAGAGAGGATTGCTTTCCAACTGTTTTCCTTCTTCCAGTCAGGTGGTAATTACAGGGCACCTCTGATGCTCTTGGATGAAGGGGAGGTTGGGAAGATGTGGGAGGGACTGAATCACGAGGGAGACATTTTTAGAAAAACGCTTCCCAAAGTAAAGATAAGGAAGAGGAGTAGTGAGGGAGGAGGAGGGGGAGGAGGAGGAGAAGCAGCCCTCTCCCCTCTTTTTTAATCAATGTTTGTTCCACAAAAGGCAGCAAGTGTCCAGGAGACCTGCCAGCAGTCGCACCTGGTCTTGTGACAGTGACTCCATCTCCGGGAAACCTACTTCCAGGTCAGGCACTGAGTGGTGCCACCGTGAGTGAGACAGCACAGCGAGGGCACAGTCTACAGCCTGTAGGCCTACACTCTGTAGGCCCTCTTCTTGGGCCTCACAACATGCGCAACTCATGTGGCATTTAACAGGAAAAGCTCCCAGTCTGCAGCGGGTGAACTGGGCTTAGCGGGAGGAGCGCAGGGCAGAATTCAGCACAGCAACAACCACCTTTCTACAAAGGAGTTCTGCATCATAGGCATCGCTAGTTTATAGCACACTGACAATCTACTCTGCATCTTCCATGCTGCACCTTCTGCCGTGGGGAGGAGGAAGATGAAACCATGAAAAACAACACTTATCTTTCACTGCTGAGTGGATGTCTGTTCTCCAAAATAAAGCTTCAAATATAAAAGCAACTATATGAAACTTTGAGTTCTTAAAGCCTGATTTTCACAAACATTTCCAGGCACACCGCAAGTTATTAAATCACCAAGTATTTACCCGGAACTGGGATGGCGTTTCCAGTGTATTAAAATCTGAAGAAGAAGAAATTCCATCTTCAAGGGTCTCCAAAAACACCTTCTGGAAGTCCAGCATTTCTGGCAGACTGCCGAACAAGGACTCCATCTGTGAAAAACATCAGGCTATGAAGTACGGAACTCCATGCATCTACCTGTGGTCTCGCGAAAGCGGTCCGCTCGGGAGATGTGGCACACAAAGAGGCTGGCAGAGGCCAAGAACGCCTTCTTCGCTAAGACTTTTCAAATGGGTTTTATAAAAAAATCCTTACAAAACAGCAAAGATTTCTTAGCAGTTAAGTCAGAAGAACAATTACCCTTTAAAATAAAGAAAAGAAGTGACGCACGCACCAGACAGAAAGGCACTGACTGGTGTAATTCCTATTGTTATGTTCCTTGTTTGCTTTTTCTGTCGTGCTCTCAGCAATGAAAACCCCAAGTGCCAAGGTCTTAACCCATTAAAGAATGACAAACGCATCTTTCAGTTATTCCCTCACCTCATCCTGGGTAAGGAAGGTTTCATTTTGAAGGGGCTCCAAGTATAGCTCAAAGAGGCAGCTCAAGTCCTGAAAGAAAGAGAGTGTGTTCACTTTTTAAAAGGGTAATTTTTGGGAAAGAACTAGAGATACAATTCCTTTTCTGTAACAAAATCACCTGGGTGTTAACACTACAGCGATTGCTAAATTAGATGCAAATTGCTTTCCATGTAGTATTTTTGTTTCATCCTTAAGGCTTTACAGCTTGATTATAATAAATTATATTTTAGTATAGCATGAGGAGACAAAAAAGTTACAGCTGACGGCTTTCGTGTATGTGAACAGCACCAAATGTTTTAATCGGGCATGCTAGATACACCATACAAACAGCCGCTCATGTGAACATCAGCAGGGATATTCAGAAGGACACATTTAAAATCCTATTAGTTAAGCGTTCAGTTTTGTTGTCGCGGGGGGATGTGATCAAGGGCCTTTTCAGTCACTTCTTCAAAGAATTGGTGCCACTTCTGAAAACTTACTATCCCACACCAAAGCATGACGGTAGGGATTAGGGGTGCTCAGGGCTGGGGCCTGCTCAGGGCTCTCCGACCCTGAGAAAAGAAACGGCAGAAAGTCTCACAGAGAAGGAGTAATGAGTCTGCACCACCTGCCAGGAATTTACCTGGTGCAAAACTGCACACATCAGCGACCTCCATGGTCATGCCTTTCTTCCAGGGATTCCTCCAGAGTAAACATCCACGGGATGCACACAGGGGCCCGTGTTTTGTAAAGCTGCCTCAAGCTTTAAGGGCATCTTTTCCATATACTTTTGTTGTAGCAGGTACTGGTATCTCTAAGTGTTTTGAGATCAAGTAAAGTAGGTGATTCCACCTTGCTGAAGGTTAGTGGAATCAATGCTTTCATGTTTCTTTTGGCATCCGATCACGTGCATTTGGGGATTATAAAAAGAAGAGACATCTAGCTAACAAATTACAGACTAAGCAGTCAAAGGAGGAATAATGTATGTGTGATGCTACAACCAACTGGAGTTGTGCCTTTTAGATTTCCCGATTCCAAAATAATTATGCGCTATTTTCCACAATTAAACTTTTTTTCCTAATCTGTAGGAGAAACTATTCTCTTCCTCCACCAGATTTATTTTGATTTGGAGAACTATGGAAACAACCTCTGGAAAACCCCAAGGTTCAAATATTGCAGGTACCTACTTCCCACAAATTACCACTGTCCAATATAAGTACAAATCAACGAGAACTAAAGCTACTAGATCAAACCCTACAGCCTGCGTTGCAGGAGCAAGCCCACTGAAAACAACCAGAACAATCAGCTAAGCAGACTCTGCAGCTCATGACCCTTGTAGAAGGCCGATTTATATACAGGTAAGCATGAAACATGTTAAGACCATCCACAAATCACAATCAGCCTCAAAAAGGCGGCTGTAGCTTGCCAGCTTATTTATTTTCTTTTTACCTTGACGTAAGATTTCTCAGTGTCCATAAGTTCTTGGATGACTTTCCTCAGTCTATCTGCGTCAGAAAGGTGGCGAGCCAGTGGCCGTGGAGGTGGATCCTGGTTGTCCTTCTGTCCGTCCATACCGCCTGCCTGGACTTCTTGGAAGTTTCGGCACAACGCGCTGATCTGTTCTGCGCTCTGTTAAGTGAGAGGAAAGAGACAAGCGCCCGTGTTATAGAATACAATCTGTGCTACAATTATTTTTTAATTCCTCAGATTTTGCTCTTGCACCAAATTCAGGGGCCAGAGCATGCCACTGATTTTTGTGAAATACGTATCCTGATAGCTTTGAACAGCTTGAATTCCTAGCAGATCCAGACCACAGCAGTAAAATAAAGTAAAAATTTTCTAGTGATTTTCCAGTGCAAATTCTTTTTGGTCTTCAGATACAAGGTTGTGTATGAAAAAGATGAGAAAGCACTCAGACATATCCTATACTTTGATTCTTCTGACACCTGCTTCACCCTGTTTTCCATCTCTCTCATTTTCCAACACTCACTGCATTGAAATAGAAAGAATTAGTAGATAAAAATATTTTTCTTTTAAGCATCCAGAATAACTGTTCTATTTGTCATCTGCTACCGATATTGTGTTGTGTGGGTTTTTTTTTCAAACAATGGGACTTGGAGTTTAGGGTTTCTTTATCATTATTTTAAAGAATCTCAAACATAAAAAAAAAAAAAACAACCCAGAAGATTTTCAAGCAAGGTAGGAGTCGGAGGTGAAACAACAGTCAATCTTAGAAGGCAAAAATGGGAGAGAAAGAAATTTTCTGACACTATGAGAACTGGTTGCATAGTCTGCTCTTGCATGACCACCACTAGTACCCAAGAGCACCTTTTACAGGCAATAATCTTTAATGCTTACTTTGAAAATTATTCCGCTGTTGTCTTTTTTTCCTGAAAGTTAGAATATTACTGCCAATACCCAGTTCTATCTCGACAGCTGTGAGTATGCACCTCTTTATACTACATCAAACAATTATTCTTGGTCCTTCTGCCTTTCAGACACCATCTGAGATACTGAAGAGCTGCCTGTGCTGTGCCACGTGCTATGTTCTGTTTAGCGAAGGCATTCAAATGAGGACTACGTGAATGCTGCCTTATTTCCAGTGGAAGTCTTGTTTCAGTGTTCTTGTTTCAGTGAAGAAATCAGGACACGAGTGCATTTCAGAAGTGTCTTAATCTGCACTAATTTATTCCACACACTGTTCCAGGTGGTCCTTTTTAGATCTCCTGATTCACCACTGATTATCTGTGTAGCTAGGTTAATCAACACACTAGGTCACCAAATGAGCAAATGCAAAAGTTACTCTGAAACTGAACTGAGCTATACAAAGCGTTCTGTAAGGTGGAGGCTAAATGCACGAGCAGTATTAGATCTCAGCCATTCACATGATAAAACATAGGTACATCCTTCACACCCATATGATGGAAATAAATGTTGAAATGGCAAGTATTTGCCATGTAATCCACATTATAACTTCCCAGCCCTCAGTTTTGAACAATGCCACCACTCTAAAAAAAATTGTTACTTTCCTAATACATGCAACCGTCTTCACAACCCTGTATAACAACAAGCACTATGAAACTTAGACACATTTTGTATATACAACATTTATTAGGACCCAATAAAACATAATGTAAATTGAATGGTGTTTGTTAGAACTACAGCTGCACACTGATGGAATATATCAGTTTAAAAATCAGTCACCCTGTGACTCTAAAATTAGTGTTTTGGAAATAAATCACAACTTAATTTAGGAAATGTGTGTGTGGTACCGTCATGGTTTAACCTTAGTTGGTAATCAAGCACCACACAGCTGCTTGCTCACTCCACCCCCTGCCAGTGGGATGGGGCAGAGAATCGGAAGGGCAAAAGTAAGAAAGCTTGCGGGCCGAAACAAGAAATAAATTGTAATGAAAAGGAAAACAACTAAAAGGGAGAGAAACAAAAGCCATGAAAAACAAGTGATGCAACCACTCACCACCACTGACTGACCACCACCCAGCCAGTCCCCCAGCAGCAACTGCTGCTCCCTCTGGCCAACTCGCCCTAGTTTATATACTGAGCATGACATCAATGGTACGGAATATGCCTTTGGCCAGTTTGGACCAGCTGTCCTGGCTATGCTTCCTCCCAGCTTCTTGTGCACCTCCTCACTGGTAGAGCACGGGAAGCTGAAAAGCCCTTGATTCAGCATAAGCACCCGCAGCAACAACCAAAACATCAGCGTGTTACCACATTATCCTCATGCTAAACACAAAGCACAGCACTGTATCAACTACTAGGAGGCAAATTAACTCCATCCCAGCTGAAACCAGGACAGTTATGTATTTTAAAGCAACTTCTAAACAGCTGAATGCCAAAGTACTTGAGTTTTGTTTTCTTTGTTTCTGATGTCAGAAAATTTTGCATTTGTATCAGAATGACTCACATTTTACACTCTAGAGCTCAAGGTGCGCGTGGGCAGCTTGATTTACATCAACCCGATGCCTGCTCAAGGACACTAGATCAAGGATATGAGACAGCCCATTGAAAGCAAGTCATAAACATCATTTTCAGGCACAGTTTTACAAGGAGGAGTTACAAGTCCTCTATTCTTCCTCAACCACCTTCGCATGTAGGGCAGGCAGACATGGAGAACATAGCGCAAACATCCCCTTCAGTTTTGGGCCAGAGCTGCGTCTGCCACCAAGAACCACTGGATGAGAAAGCATATGGAAACAGATGAAACTCCTCAACGTCAATGCTATTTGTGCACCTAAGCAACATCAGTTTGGTGTCAGGAATTGTTCCGCATAACTGGCCTAAGCCCAAGGCACAAAGGAGGCACACCTCTCGGGCACAGTGCCAACAAGGAGTGATTTTTTACAAACTTTAGTATGTTCCTGAACACGTGAGCACTTTGTGTTTGCGAGTCTGACAATAACAATACTTCCCTTGCCCTGCAGTGCTGCTCACAGGCTCTGTCCTTCCCTCTGTGGGAGGCTTTCAGACTGCAATACCCAGATCTCACTCTCACTCCTTGTACCCACTGTGATATTTACACTTGGGTCAAAGCAAGCATGAAGTGCTACTTGGCTGCAGGACAGAAGCATTTCTCATTCATTCCTACACATTACACAGACCACAGAAGATGCAGGAAACCCATTTTGCCAATGACAGCACAAAGTGTACCTTAGGTTCTCAACCAAGAGTCCAGTACTCACGAGAAACTTTGTAATAACAAATAAGTAGAGAGGAATAAAAACTACTGTTGCCTCACATTTTTCCCCAAAACTCCCTTACTGCCCTACTCCACCTTTTTTCCAGGCTGCTCTGGATGCTACTTTCCACCTCCCACACTAAACAATGTCCTGCTCTTTAATATTTTTGCTGTTTAAAACTGATCTTTTCTAGAAAGGCTCTACTGACAACCCCTAAGCACATCTCTCTTGTATCTTTTATGTGTGGGCAGGAGAGGCCCAGCTTCTGCCCCATTACTGATTGCGGGATTTCAAAGCCACCCGGGCATTCTGGATGTCAAAGCAAGAGTTTGGCAGTCTAGTGCCCTTAAGCCAAGAAGTCTCAAGAGGAGCCCCAAGCTGATACTACACACACTCACCGTAATCATTAATTAAGGTGGGAATTAACCCTGACTTCGCTCGAACAATGACATGGCTAACAGGCAGATCTGACTCTCAGATACATCTGGTGAAGTCCTCAAGCACACAGCTGCTTGTATTTGCACAAGGCCAAGATCATCTGTACTTAGTAAATGGTAAAATCTTATTTGTGCCAACCTTGATAGTGTGCAGCTCATCAGAATAAAAAAAAAAAAAAAAATTAAATTGGTGAAAGGAAAATCCTGGATGGCTGAATCCGGGCAAGGCTGCGAGGTAGCAGGGTGCAGAGAAAAGCTGTGGAGTGCATACAGTGGAAGCAACAAACTTTCACCAAAATCCATCACTTGAGTTACGTATGCCACTTTCAGCAACATTTTTAGGAGATTGCAAGCAGCTTCCACTTACCTTTGGCATTGAACAGCTGACAGGTAAGGCTAAAAATCCAAAAATTTTAACTAACAGTGCTAGAGTTCGTAGCACAGAAAACAGAGTTCGGGAAGACAACTGGAGCTTGTGCAGGGTTTATAGAAAAAACAAATACTTGCATTCCTGGAAGAAAGAATTTAAACAGCACTGTATTGTTTTGTTGGCCATTTTGGAGGCCAGATGCCCACCACAGCTGCTCTGTCACTGCCCTCCTCAGCTGGACAGGGAGAGAAAATAGAATGAAAAGCTCATGAGTCAAGATAAGGACAGGGAGGGATCATTCACCAACTACCATCAATGGGGAAAACAGACTCGGGAAAATTAGTTTAATTTATTAACAATCAAATCAGAGTAGGAAAATGAGAAATAAAAATTAAATCTTAAAACACCTTCCTCCCAGGCTCAGCTTTGCTCCTGATTTCTCTCCCTCCTCCCCAACAGCGGTGCAGAGGACAGGGAACAACGGGGGTTGCGGTCAATCCATCACAGGCTGTCTCTGTTGCTCCTTCCTCCTCAGGGCAAGGGATCCTCACACTCTGCCCCAGCTCCAGCGTGGGGTCCCTCCCACGGGAGACAGTCCTCCTACGAACTTCGACATGAGTCCTTCCTACAGGCTGCAGTTCTTCATGAACTGCTCAAGCCTGGGTCCCTTTTGCGGGATGCTGTCCTTCAGGAGCAGCCTGCTCCAGCATGGGCTTCCCATGGGGTCACAACCTCTGCCAGCAAACTTGTTCCAGCCTGGGCTCCTCTCTCCACAGGGCCACAGCTGCTACCATGACATTCTGCCCCTGTACTCTGCTCT